CGTTGTTGGGGTAATTTCTGATGGTTTCATTCCGGTGGTACCATGTTTTGTTTGAATATATTTTGTTGTTATTTTTTTTTTTTCTTTAATAAAGTTATTTTACGCAATTACTTGTTTTTTTTACTTTTTTTTATGGGGGTAAGGATAAAACATACACACACACTGAATTTTAAAAATACATTTATTATTATTAGTTTACAGGTAAATTTCTATTAAAACACAGGTATGTCCCATGCTATCCTTTTGTTGATATCTTGTTTTATCTGCATTTTTCCAAAACGCATGTAGTCCTCCATGCAGTAGCTCTGCTCACTCTCTTCTGTAGAACATAAATATTCAATATGCGGAAAGATTTTGGCGTCTTCCAGTAAATTTTCATGTATAGTCAAATACAATATTCTATCGTAGTACTCGTAAAAGTTCAAACGAGACAGTACTCGTATTCTTTTAAATACCAATTTGCTTATGGTAATTAATTCCTGTACCCAGTCTTTCGAAATATAGAGTATACCCTCGCTATTTTCAATCTTGACCAAGACCTCACCATCACATTGTAGACAGCTGAGTTTGAAGCAGGTTAAATACATAACTTTACCAGTCGGGCCTGCTAACAATAACAATGGAAGCTGTTGTATTAATTCTGTGAAGTCTATCTCGTCGAACGAAATGCTTCTTTTCTCCGCCAAAACGTAGGGGATAAAGCTCACTTTCACTGCCGGAGCGAAGATTCTTGCTGGGCTAAGACCTGAGGTAATTTCTAGTCCAAATTCCGGCAGCGTAATTGCTGCCTCGTAAATGTATTTTTGTTCGCGGATTATTTCCGCATTGACCACAAATCTTCCCCACGAATCCAATGCTTGCGTTGGATAATTTTCGACTTCGGACATTTTTCTCACTCTGCACTTATCACGAAATTGTATGAGTGGAAACTGAATAAAAAATTAAAATTTCTTATAGCTTATATATGTATAACCCCCACCCGATCCCCAGATTCAAAGCGAACGCCTAACATACTTGCTTCGACAGGAAAAAACCCGACGGAGAACCTCCATCCACCCCGCTTTTATTTAGACAAGCTCTGACAAGAAAAAGTACGTATCAAATAAAGCGCTATTTAAAAAAAAAAAGGGAATATCAATGGCGAATTATATTAAGATATACCTTTATCCTCTTTGCAAATAATTTTCTACTCGCTCACAGGTAGGATCATGAAGATCCTTCAATATTTTGTTGCACCAGGTATTTAGCTTAGCCTAGAATTCTTTTGAAAAATTATTATTTTTAAAAAAGGCGCGCGCTAGATCAGTTGCCGTTTCAGCGATATTTCCTTGTTTCCCGTGTCGGAGTTTATCTCTTTTCTTTTGTGCATATTCTTGTTTTAATTAAATCTTGATTATCTTTTTATGCCAATTTTGACGATCATCTCATTTTTTTGTAACTAAAATTAATTCAATAGAAACAATTAAGGCGAGATGATGCCCGGCAGCTGTTATATTAGGTATGAAAAAGTCAATTTGGATGAAGGAGATGCTTCTTTTGTCCCGACAATGTACAAGAATAAACCTGTCTAACCATAGCAAAATGGGGCCCAAAACTGTGACACTAGGCGAGAATATGCGTTATTTGGAAGTTAAATTTTAAAAATCCTTTGTAAAATATTCACGGGGAGGGTGTCAAGGCGTCAATTTTTATAAACATCGGAGGTCAGTGTCGGAGAAATAAGGGTTCTACCCTTTTCTCCTCGTCTCTTTTTAACTCCGTTTTGAGTAATTTGTAATAATTTGAGAAAAAAAAATTCAGTACCCGAAAAATGGACACACATTTGCAAGCAAAACAAAAAAAATAGGATACAAAAAAAAAACTATAAAATATAGGCGCCAATGCAGGCAATAGTTTAAATACGGGAAGTTACATTTTTAAACATAAATTCAGATTTTCGGTGGCAATATAACTCTATTTTTCGTGTTTGTTAAGATTTATATACATAATATCAAACCAGGCTTTGGAAACGTCTGGTTAAGGCCACAGGCCATTAGCTTCTAAATAAACGCGAGATATCATGAAAAGCGAAAAAGTTTGAATGGAATCTAACGTTTCCTTTTGTTTCTCAAAAATAGTAATTAAGCGGAAAAGTACTCGTAGTATATTGATTAATTGTAGAAATGTCTCATTTTCTACAAAACAACTTAAGTTAAATAAAATGCAAATTAAATTATTATAAATTACCGCTTTGTTGTATTCGCTATTTACTATGCCCCAACCTACGACGACACTGGAGGGTAGCTTAAAATTTGACCTGCTTGGTTTACCTGCCTTTCGTAGGAATGCGGGTTGTTTCACGTGTCAGTCGAAGTTTAAAGAAGTGTTGGTGTTAAGGGTTCGTTTCTGTTATACGCGTTTGTTGCTTAATGCAATATCGCCAACGAGTTTAAGTTTTGTGTTCAATGTGTGTTTCATATACGGATAAATAAAACAAAAAAGACTGGAAAAAGATAGGTAAGAAGCTTTCGGAATTGCGACTTTAATGAGTAACCGCGTAACATTTTGACCTAGTATTATGTATATGTTCGACGAGGTTTCTATACTTAATTAAAAAAAAATTGGGGAGTGATCAAAGGAGGCTGAGGTCGGAGATACGGATCTTGGTTAGTATCAATTTTTGTTTAATAAAACAACCAAAAATGCTCGCTTACGTTTTTGAAGTAGGTAAAAAGGAAACAGAATTTTAATAGAAATAACGCACGATATATCTCCCAAAAAATTCAGCCATATGAACAAGGCGAAGAAGTTAAGCAGATAAAATTTTACAAGATTTTTGGGGGGCCAAGTGTAAATTCGGATTGTGGAAAGTAACAGATAGAGAGAATGAGTGACCTATATAGAAAAAGAGAGACAGAAAGGTAGATTTATTTAAACGTTTCTCAATCATCCACCCATCGGAGATAATAAATAACATTCGCTAGTTTTTTTTTTGCATGTATTGAGTTAAGTTCGGTATAGAAATATATCAATAGTAACAATTTAAATATGGTAATTTTTGGGGATTGTTATACGTCCGCCAGCGTATTAAAAATATGGTTTTAGGGGTTAGAACTTTTAAGTTTCAAGAAAAAAAAACTCATGTTGAAATTTTTGTATTCGGAAGCTTCTGTTGTTTATTAATTTATAGACACTGGAAAATATAATAATAAAACATCCTACAGTTGACATACGTGTCCTCTTAAACTCGAAAAGAGCTAATTTATCTTAGAAGAGTACGTATTTTTGGTAAAATAGATATTTTTTATATTAAATATTTGACCGATCGATGTAATTCGTCAAGCAGAAACCGAAAAGAAAAGTGACGCTTGTGGTGTTTGCTGACAATCCGACCCTGCTTCGTGTACAAATGCAATGACATTTCGGCAGGGCTATAGGCTACGAAACCTTTCAAACTCGAAAAGGACGAACTGTTTTAAAGAAAAAAGGTACTTCATTTTTGGTAAAAGTAATAGATAATTTTTTTTTTCGCTAAATATTCCACAGATCGATGTAACTCGTCAAGCAGAATCCGAGAAGAAAAGTGACCGGGGGTGCTGTTTGCTTACAATCCGACCCTGCTTCGTGTACAAATGCAATGCCATTTCGGCAGGGATATAGGCTACGAAACCATTCGAACTCGAAAAGGCGCTACTAATTTTGAATAGGTACTTAATATTGGGTAAAAGTAATAGATAAGATTTTTTTTTAATTAAAATATTTGACAGATCATGGTAACTCGTCAAGCGGAATCCGAGAAGAAAAATGACGGATGTGCTGTTTGCTGATAGTCCAGAACGGCTTCGTGTACAAATGCATGGCGGGGAGACCAGAAAGTTTTCGAAAATGCGTGAGTGGAAGTCTGCGTTGGACGAATTTTGAAAATATCTGAAGGTTTAACGAATTTTGGAGAATTCGACAGAGCTACAGACTACGAAACCTTTCGAAACGAACACACGTGTCCTGTTGAACTTGAAAAAGACGAAATTATTTTTAAAAAGGTATATTGTTGCTAAATAATAGATTTTTTTTAATTAAAATATTTGACAGATCATGGTAACTCGTGAAGCAACATCTCAGAATTGAATCGGGGAACGAGGAATCAAAAAAAGATTAACAATTTGGATCATTTTGGAAGATACATACGCCGCGCTTTTCAAAGCGGACAGACGTGCCCTTGTCCAACTGAAACGAACACACGTGTCCTGTTAAACTTGAAAAAAGACGAAATTATTTTTAAAAAGGTATATTGTTGCTAAATAATAGATTTTTTTTTAATTAAAATATTTGACAGATCATGGTAACTCGTGAAGCAACATCTCAGAATTGAATCGGCGAGTTGTGTATTTGCTGGCAATCCGAGCCTGCTTGGATCATTTTGGAAGATACATACGCCTGCGCTTTTCAAAGCGGACAGACGTGCCCGTGTCCAACTTGACAAAGGCGGAATTATTTTAGGGAAGGTATATTATTTGTAAAAAAAAATATACAATTTTTAAGTAACATATTTGACAGACCATGGCAACTAGTAAAGCAGAATCCGAGAATTCAATCGGCGGCTGTATGTTGACTGACAAGAATATAATTGCTGTTAATCCGGCCCTGCTTCTTGTACAAATGCATAGTGGGGAGACATGAACATTTTTCGAAATTACGGCCCTATCCTCTTGGGATTCTACGTTGGACAAATTCTGAAAACGACCCAGAAATATAATTGGTGAGAAAATAGTTTTTTTTTGTTGTGTTAACAGATAACAATTTTTTTATTTTGGAAATAAGGGGTTTCAGTGTGTACTGGTATTAGTGAATCAATTTAAAGACCTCAGCATCTCTAAACCCGCATCTTGAGACGCGTTAACGATCCGGGTCGAGTTACGTCGCGTAATTGTGTCACTTTTTTAATTAAAAAAATGAAAGAGATGTACCTACCATACTTTAGAAACCCCTACTCCCCTTTGGAGGTGATGAAATAAGTTTTGGCATAAAATATAAGTTCCTCGTATTACTTTGATATAAGTATAAGTCTTGCCTGTTTTTTTTTTAAAGGAGGTTCAAACCCGTGCGAGGTGAGGTTTGATATATGAAACAGACCAGTCATGGGGACACGAGATATGGAAAGTTTCAGCGTAGTCGTCGCCACATTGCTGCCAACACTGCATATATAAGGAATCACGAACCATTCAGGTAAAATTTTGAAAACACATATTTATGGCAATATAGAACCTCTCTTTTTTTTAACAGGAATATTGAGACTTAGACCAGTATCTTTTTAAGTAGGCATGTGGGGTAAAGAAGACGCAGAAGCTTCAGTCGGGTACCATCGGTAACGTAGGCGATTGATATATTTCCACCACTACATATGTTGGATTGGAATTTCCCATTTGATGCTTTGACTGACTAAATGAGGAAACTTGGAGGTAAGCTCTTACGGAATTCTATCGAAATATGTTTAGTAACATATTGGTGCGTTACTCTGTCTTCCAGTCAGTTTCACATAAACTTTGCACGTATTATAAAAATGCCACCTACTTTTTTTTGTGTTAATATTATTGAAAGTAGTAGCTGGTAGCTGTACTCGTAAGCCCAGAGAGTCTCTGTTTTGAACATAATACACAAAATGGGGCGTTCAAAAACAATAGACTGCATGCCTTTTAGAGTCGGCGTAAACTATGGTCATATACCCCTGATCAAATTCAAAACTACAAAATCGTTGTGTCTCTGCATTAAAAATAATAGTAAAATTTATTGTAGGCACCTAGTAGAGTATCGAAAATTTCCATTTTTAGTGCCAAATTGGTTACTCCAGTAAATACCAACTGTTCTAATTTTTTTTTAATAATTTATGATGTTAGTGAGTTTCATTGCGATTATTTGTTACTTAAATTTTCTGCGTATTAAACCTTAATTAACAATACGCTATTCGTTAACGCATGTAGAATTAATGACGCTGACTGACCTGATTTTGTCCAGGGGGCGTAGTACGGTAGTTTGTACTGTGATGTTTGGTAGTTTGGCAGTGAGCTCTCATTTATGAAACTGGGGAATGTTTCGTTATCTTCAAATCCTAAACACGTATCAATAGAATTATATTTTTAAAATATTGATTAGGACATGTACTAAGTAACTAAATGCTCTAGCGAAAATATTCACACATATTGCGGAAAACGTACAAATTTAAATTAGAGAAAATTAACTATTTTTAGAGGTTGGTTTTTCAAAAAGGTGGGGATTTAGTTAAAGAACAGATAGAGACTAAAGGGAAGCTCTATGAGAAAAGTTAGAATTAAAAAGTCGATGTTTTCGTGTCATAGCGAAAGATGGATTATTATTAAAAATAATACTTGCATTAATTGTTGTCACCATTTGTGAAAAATATGGAAAATATCCTCTAGGTTCGCATACCTTTTTTTTAATTTTTTTAAGGTGGCTAACAAAATACACAGACAGAAAAGTTTAGATCCTGTTCGTTAATGTAGCGCATAGAAAAAAATTAGAAAAGAGAACGTTTCGTGTATGGCATACGTAGTTAGTACGGAATATTAATCTGAAGGCTGCAAGACAGTGAAAGAGTGATGCGCTTAAGTGTGGTTCAGAGAGGTTATTTGGGCTGTAGAAGTTTTTCTTTGAACAGGGTTCAAATAGCGTCTCCTAGAGCGTTAGCGGAGAAGAGTATTACAGTATTTAATATAAGCGTTCAGATTTCATTATTGTTGAGATTGCATAGAAACACACTTTCATGTAGTAGTCGCAGCAGCTTTAAAGTATATGACTTTTTAGTTAAGATGCCTTTCGAGTTTGCTTTATGGCTTGATAGGAAATTAAAGGGTAGATACAGATAAGTTACGAAAAAAAAAAGTATGTACACTATCCTCAAAGATCAGCAATAAATAAAAGAAATTGATGAAATAGTAAAGTTGACTGCAATATCTTAAAATCATCAAAAAGATAGATAAATTAATTTTGAAAATATTAAATAATAAAAATAGCAAAGAAAATCAAAATCATCAATAAGGTAGATAAATTAATTTTGTAAATATTAGATAATAAAAATAAAATTATAATAGCAAAGAAAGCCTACCACGGCCACATACACATAATATTTTCGACATATGAACTTTTCCCAGATAAATAGTCAAATATTTCACGATACCTTAAAACAGAAGCATGCGGAAATATGTATGAAGTTAACGCACGGTAGATGGCTTAGTAAATTAAAAAGGTATATGGTTTCTAATATCCTACTTTATTAATGAAAATTTTAACCAGCTTTTTGTTTTGCAGATATTATTGGTGGTGCCTGCCAGCTTCCAGTTCCGAGAAAAGAAATCCGACACTTTTCGTCTTTATTTCCCCTGTCCTTTGTGCGCAATAAAAGTACAGTTTGTACCCGCGAGGGTACACATTCGCAGAATTATATGTTTTTAAAATAAATGTTTTGGTCAATATTCACTAGGTGGGTTACCTTATTAAAGAAAATCTTATTCCAAGAGGGGACACTAGTTTACATTCGAACCGCTAGAGGGTGCAGATGGTCACGAGAACAATATGATCAAGTCTCATTGACGCCATTGCTTTTCATACGGGTGGGAAAATATCTGGGCTCTGATTGGCTTCGCCGCAATCGCAAACTAGAGGTGGGGAGATTGATTAAACCCCATTGGTGCTTGCTTATCCAATGGGAGCCAGTTTCAAGGGATTATGGGTAAAGGGGGAGGAGCTAGAGAGTCGTGGGGAAGGAGGACACGCCCACAAAAGGGAGAGGAGTGGGATTGTCCCCAAACATACATATATCTACTCACAAACTTAATCGGTCTGATACTTGTCAATTTTAAGGGCCAGTTATGGTGAATGGTCAAAGATTGACGCAAACCTGAAGAAGAGCTTCTACTTGAGGCGCGTGCAATTCCGTCTGATGGAAAGGTAATGCTTATTGTATTCTTGGATTGAATTATGGATTATCTGGCGACGCAGAATATTATTCGTATTTGCGACAAGCGCTTGTCAAAAAGCGTCCGTTATTGCAACAGGATAATGCAAGACAAGAAAAACGAAAGATGTTTTGAACGATTCAGGAGGGGAATTATTCCCGCGCCTCCCTTATTTCCCGGATCTTGTTCCCATTGATTATAGCAGGCACCGAAGGAGTTCTTTTAGGTCGGCGTAAAATATTAGTTTATAGTTGCCATAAATGTCTTCAATGGAGATGACATGTTTTGTAATATTAACGAAATAATAAAAATTATCTTCGAAGCGAATAAAAAAATGCAACTTTTCCCTATTTTAACGGACCTGCTAGCAATCGATGCGAACTGGGTTATTGATTTTATTGTACAGTTTTTCTTTAAACATTTTTTAAACTTATAGGAGCTTGTATACCAGTATACAATATATATAACAAACATAGAATTCGACATATAAGAGTGAAACGCTTAGATAATGGTGAATACCAATTACCTGTAGTAAAATTTTAATAGTCCGGCAAAAATTGCTTCTCGAAGACGGTTTATTTTTTTATTGTGTCAAATGGAAACGCGAAACTATAGAAAATACTCTAAAACAATATAAAACTGCGTAATTAAGTGATATATTTGAAGAAACGTGTCAGGGCGTATCGAGATGTCGATCGTCAATCAGCTTTGTTCCGGTGAACCCCACCATTGTTTCATTTTTGCTGCGCCTTTGATGTTTTCGGTGACTCGATAATCAAATGAATATGCGACTAGCTACAGATTATCAGGTTTACACTTAATTCGGTTTTAGTTCCAGTTTATCAAAGTTTGTATTTGCTTTCATTAGATGCCAATTTAAATGTGCTTAATCGATGTTTCAAAAAACATGCGCCAACGCGTGATTGGAAATTAGGCATCCAAAAAAGAAGAAAGAAAATTCTATAAATGTGGCGACGAATGTCCAGTCGAGCGTTAGCGAATGTTTTTTGAAACATCGTGTATCGTGGAGTAAAAATTTTCTAAATTAGACTCCCAACCGAATTTAATTTGACAGCTTTTTCGTGTTATATTAGTCAAGTACAAGCAAGGCATACCTATATCCAGGCTTTAAATTTTTGTGATATTTTCTACGTTGATAGAAACCTTGATAAACTTAACGCCTGAAAAATGTTACTGCCATTTTATTAAAATATATTTTTTCTACTGCATTCTGCAAAATACCTTATTATACACCGATCTAGACACTGGCAAGCATCACTTCGCAACGTGAGTTTCTTGTTCAACGGGTCAGAGCCCCTTCGGACATATCCGGAATATTACCGCACAGATTTATGAGCAATCGGATGTTTTCGGAGATTTTATCGCACGGCTTGTCAGTGAATGAATTCGATCGCAGAAAAAGTATAGTATGCAATACGTTGGATAATTATTGTTTGGTTTCTTCCTTTTTTTGTTTTTCTTTTTAATTTAATTATTTCTTTCTTTTATTACCAGTTTGCTTTACCAATTTCGAGCTTTAATTAAAATTGTTATATGTAATTGGACGTTGTTTTTTTGTTTTCTGTGCGCAGTCGGTGATTAAAAATTTTTCTTTTGGTTTTCCTTCTATATATCATTTATCATATGAGTTCGATGCATTATACCTGAAACACGTCCTTGAAGTACGTCAAGCTTATTTCTTGCGAAATGTGTTCTTTCCATATGGGCAGCTTTTCATTCATTTCATGAATACTGGTATAAAATTATCGATATCAACGTGAAATCAGTCTAAAAGTATCGATACTTTGTAAGTATCGAAGTATCGTTAACATTATTAAAGTCTGTTCATAGATATAAGAAAGTGACTAACTGATACGAATTAAGGAAAGACCCGGGCAAGCTGTAAGAATGAAATATGGCCGAACAGGTCCTTACTTTGCTTAGAATTTAATTATTTGGGGTTTTATTAGGAAAGATACTAAACAATATTTATTTATTTATGTATGTATTTATGTTTAAATCTAAAATAAAATTACAAATTATTTTTATTAAATACATACTTAAATTACTTAAAATTATTCACATAATATATCAGTATCACTATCGCTATCATCGCTTGTTCTAATTATTATTTGTCCTATATTATTTTCAATATGGATATACGATTGTTCTTCTTTTTCTATATGTTTAACAGAATTTGCCCAACTTTGTAGAGGGATGTTAAAAACTTCGGTTTCTATAAGTTTGAGGACATTGGAGTTAACACGTTAACTCCAATGTCACACGAGTTAACAACATTGTTACGACGAATGGCAGATTTCAGTTGGTGCCAAACATGTTCAATGGGATCAAATATACAGTGGTAAGGTGGAAGCCTTAAAACTGTATGCCCTAGATTTTTTGTATAATTATCACAGACGTATTCCTTTTGTAGGTTCAAGCTTTGTAGAACCTCAATTAATTGCTTTTTGGTATAACATTTTTTGGGTATCATAAGTGTCGAACCAGGTTTCATCCAAGTAAATAATTGGCCTTTGTTGTTCTCTGTAAATCCTATTTTTTTCCAGATTCCATTAAAACTTGCCTTTTGTCAATTTTTTTAAATCTAAAACCCACGTGTTGAATACACTTCCACAAGCCTCCTAATTAAGATATCTAATGTAGGCACGCTTTGTTCGTCGTATAACTGGTAAATTTTACGCCATATTATATCTTGATCACTTTCATCTACACTCGAGAAAATGTCAGCATCGCTTTTTTTCCTCACTGAAATGGGAGTATTCACAATTTTCCATACAGTTGATGTTGGAATTTTCGTCAATGTGGCCGTTTCTTCTAAAGATGCTTGCTTGCTGGCACCACGTTCAATGAGAGTCAAATAAACATTGTTTATAACTTTCTTAGTCTCAATAGAATAGTGTTTTCTACATTTGGGCGGGAGCATCTCCTGAGATACACTAGACTCGCACATATTTTGCATAATTCGCACACGATTCAACACACACTGTATTACACAACGAAATAAGAATGATTACTAATAAACTTAAACTAAGTGGTATACCAAACCAAAGAATATTAAACACAGGTAGGTATAAAATTATGAAATTCTGAAACTTTAGGTAATAATCTTGTTGCATTGTATGTTAATCACCACCCTTGGATAATCCCATTCAAATGCAATTGCTCACTTTCTTATATCTATGAACAGACCATACCTATTAGCTTTAAATAGCGCTCTGAACAGGCCACCAGCATGTTTGACAAAACATCGGCGTCGCAGAGTCTCCAAACTCGATGAAGGAGAAATCCACAAGCAGTAATCCTCAAGTTCTGAGAAAAATCCATTTTTTTTATATACGTACTGGATCTTTTGTTAATTTTATTGTCAAAACATGCATATATCGAAATTTAAACAAGTGCTTTGGAGTTTGAAACGCCTTGATGTATCCCACGTTCAATGAAACTATGTGTAACTACGTGTAATTTAACTTCAACTGGAAATAAAACACAAGAAAATGAATAGTTTTTATTTGAAGCATCATAATTTTGCATTAAGATGAGAATACAAGAAATTTCAGGTTTGAGGCTGCAGCCGCTGAGGCTATAAAAATTTTTGAACAAAGTGGTATAACAAAAGGCGTATATTTACTTTTTATATCATAGTAAGAACATTGAACAGTTTGCACGCAGACAACCTCGTAAAGGTTTTAAAACAAACACGATTCTTCATAAAATTTTTATCAATATTAATCAATATATTTGTGCTGAGAATGTAACGATATTCTACATTTCAACAACTAAGGCAGTACCGCCTAGGACAAAAAAGTCTTGAATAAAACGTAGGAGTAACTTTTTTAAAAATTTTCTGCATTAAATGGACAGTTTTTGTAGCAATGCAAGTACTCAAGTGCAAACGTGGTCGCGAAGCGTTGAAACTCTCAAGAAGTCGATGGCATAAAGATTTATTTTAACGGAATTTTCCACAACTGCCTTGAGCCACTCGAAACCCAGGTTGGATCTGTTAAAACTGGAATATAAGTCACAGATTTTACGCGCTTGTTGCCAACGTCCAAAGGCAGATACAAAAAATCGCGGTTGCCGACCAAAAAGCTCCTCAGTGGCGGGGCGAATTCACTAGCGATTTAGATAAACAATGTTTTATTCGATAATTTTTGTTTCATTCATATCGTCTCGGAAAAATGTTCTAGTATGTACACTACACAGTTCTTTTCCGTTCACTACAAATATCAACCTTTTATTGAGCTAGCGAACACTGCATGAGCTGTTTTTTTATGGCAGGGACTAAATAATTTATCAACATAAATAAGAACCAAAAGTTCAGATTTTCACGAAATTATATATTTTGACATGACAATTGTTTCGACAACACCGTGTTTTTATGAAACAACATTTGATAAAGACACGGTGTTGTCGAAACAATTGTCATGTCAAAATATATAATTTCGTGAAAATCTGAACTTTTAGTGCTTATTTATTTTTACTAAACGACTAACCGAAGCTACCCCAAATTCATTTTTTTTTCTCAAGAAGGTTAAAAGCGTATTAGGTGAATCTTTTCTCGAAATAGGTTAGTTAATTAGATTTAGTGCTAAAAACTTTTTAAGACATATAAGTGATTAAATGTGGTAGAGGAATATTTATTTGACATATTTTTTCCACAAGGATGGAAAGAAGTTTTGCTTATAACCTTCTTTTGAATTCCCACACCGACTTGCGATTATGGGAGTTAATATACCTTTGAAAATAAAAGCGCCACAGTCTTTTCTTTATAGTCACATATCAGATCCATTTCTACATAAAATCTTTTCACTGAACTTTCAAAGGACACAATTTTCCCGTTATCGGCAATTAGCCGCACGCGGAATATTATGACTTATGACACGGTAAATAGCACGATTTTCTTACTAGCCTATTGTTTGTTTATCTAGACACAGGTCTCATGGGTAAATCCGCCACTGGATCTACATATTAATAGCTTCTCGGTTAATCTTCGGGGGGTTTTTCAAACTGGTTTGCAAATGACCAGAACAAAACGAACTGGACAATATAAAATCGAAGGATTAAACCCGGTGCCATCAGTAGTTGCGTCTCTTTGTGTACCTACGCCCAGAGATGGTAAGCGGATATTTTCTGAGTAACTTGTGAAGCCGGTTAAGGTCAAGTTGTTAATAACTAGATAGTGCATGGTTTATTTCCGTTTGCTTTCAAAAATAATGCATTTTTATGCGGCTATAAATTTCCAAAGATAAACTATCACTCCGGGCTTCTAAGTATCGTTTAATGGTGTATTTTTAATGGTACTGTTACGCAAAATGTATTACTTCAAATATAAATCGGCTACAATGGCAACAGCATCGCGGGGTCACTGCCAGCTATTGTTCCAGATGAAAGACTTAAGCGTCATCTGCTTGTTAGTGGCGTTTGCTGCCGGTATAGTCGACTGCCAAAATTCTCCGGCTCTACCCCAGTCACCCTGCCCAGAAGTATTCCGGTACGAGTCTCTAGACAGCGCGAATAATCTTTGGACGGGCTCCCTCGTAGCCAGAACGCCTCATGTCCTGCACGGACTCTGGATCAGGCTGATCTTCAACAAGCCGGTCGACCAAATCACCGTCGGGGTAATTCATACTACATATTTTTTGATCGCCTTGTAGTTGCGGCGCTTAAAAACTTATTGTTTTAGGATGGTTTCGAGGCGGTACCTTTCGACGACAAACGCGAGTACCTGATCAAAAACAGAGACCTTCTATTACGTGGTAACCGGCCGAAAATTCTTAAATTTACGGTGAAATATGCAGGAGGCGAAGCCCCTGAGCTGATAGAATATCGATTAAACGCCGTGACTGTGTGCCCCAACCAGTTCGCGTAAGTATTTTTGCTTATAAATTTAATACCCGTCGCATGCCTGATATTGGATCTCGGGATTTTTCATATCTTCGCAGATATTATCTAGGAAATTGGACGTTTCTGGCGCTTTTTCGTCCCGAACCGCGCGGTTTAAATAATTAAAACGTCGGTTATATGGAATTGAAGGTAAAAGAGAATTCTAGTAGACTTAAATCTATATTTTATTTATTATTTGCTACGGTTTTCTACTAAAAGTTAGCTTCGTTAAACCCTATGGCGAGCCAATTCGCGCATTTTCGTTACTTTAGTCATAGGTTCGCAAAGATCGGATGTTTTCGAAAAAAATTATAACATTATATTTTGACATTTGTCCGTTGTCACGGCTACGTCACACGTCACTCAGTCTATGCCATTCGTTCTGTTAACCAAAAATTTATCCAAAAACTAATAGCCGTAGAAAAAGTATAGTATGCAACACTGTTTATAAACTTGTTTAGATATATAATGTACTATTTGGAAGGAATGTATATTCACCTGACACGAATCAAGGATACCTATCTGAAATGCGCTGAAAAAGTAAATGTACACAGTAATAAGTTTTTAACCTGATGGAGATTTTAAATAATGTAAGAGCATCGATTCTTTCTTTCAATAATTCCAATTTTAGCAATTTCAAACATTCCCTCATCGAGCTAGTAAATTATATTATTAATTAATTATACTATTGCTCCTGTTCTTCTTTAGTCATCCGTCAGTCAATAAAGACGGTTAATTCCTCTAACGAAGTTTTTAATTGTCATATTGAACTCGATCTGAATTTTAATGGTAACAGCGTGATAGAAAAGTGAGGCAAATTTTACAATAGTAAAAGAAGGCTGATAATGGAGATTGTTTTCTATCTCTAACTGATTTATATTGGAGGGAGAATGGCGTATTCGATTACAAAATATTTCAAATGTTTTATTGGTCACAAAATAACAGGGTTATTAATTTTAAAGACATAATATTTACATAGAATTCAAAAATACTTATTATTTCTTTTATTTATGAATAATAGGCACATATGCACTTATTCTCATGTAATACAAATAATAAACAACAATAAATTAACAATTTTTGCTAAATACTATCACCGTCAAAAATCACAACCAACATAGTACAAATAATAAATAATAAACAATCTTTTGTCACAGTTATCTGTCGTTAGTATTAACGTGTATGACAAAGAAAATAATCCCCATTGTTCTAAATAAAATTTGCCTCGCAAAAACAAAATAGAGTTCACTGTTTTCAGGTATACTTTTCGAGCAAGGAGGCTGTAAATGTTGTCATTTACAATTCGTAAATGTAAAAAAACCAAATCACGTCATTGATTCACTAATTTCTCTGAAAAACCAAAACGGTTCCTGTGATCTTACAAGAGCTATAAAGGCTCTGTCTAATACAGGACCTTATAACGCAACAGATAGATAATACCTGTATTTTAAGGCATTTTAAACCCGTCGCCTTGACGAACTGTAAGTGGCCATGCTGCCTGTCTAAAGCCGCTAGATCTTCAAAAATTCCTGTATCTTCAGCAAATGCAAAACATCTATATATCTAGCTATATGGAAGGAAGTGTCAAAGATTAGATGTTTTAAAAGTAACTTTATTTTACCTGTTTAAATGCCGTATAAGATTTCGCAAACACCAACGTTTGATAGCAAATAATGGACCTTTTATTTACGATTAGGTGAGTTTATCATTTCCTGATTTTCCAGGAACCGTACCGATTTCTATCCCAATGACTCAGCGGCCTCAAAATCTGATTACCTCCAATCCATAACTTCAGAACAAGAAGATAGTCAGCCTCAAGGAGCATGCGGAGAAGCGACTGCGTCAAACGGAATTCCTGACGTATTTCCGTGGCAAGCGGCCGTTTTCACGAAACTCGGCAACGAAGAAAACTACACCTGCGAAGCGATCCTAGCTAGCGATAAGTTCCTGATAACTGCTGCTCACTGCGTGACGTACCTTACCACACGGATCCCACTGGTACCTGAAAGATTGGTTGTATATATCGGTAGGAACAACATCGATCAAAGAAACAGCGAACCGCTGTTGGTGTCCAGGATTATCCTCTATCCCGGATACCAGCCGGAGAATTTGCTAAACGACCTGGCGCTGTTGGAGATCAAGGAACCCGCTAAACTGAACGAAAGGATATCGCCAGTTTGTTTGCCTGTTCAAAATAACGCCAACGAATCGGAGGAGGTTCTGCCGGGGTACCAGTTGGAGAACGGCAAGTTCACGAAACTGAGCTCGCAAAAAATAAGGAAAATCCCACAGGAAGAGTGTTTCAAAGACGCCAAAAATTTGAAAAGCTTCTTGGGCGACAACAATTATTGTGCCTCTTATATAGAAGGTGAGTGGAAAAGATCTATTTTGCGTACAAATAACAACAAATCACTTTCGAAAAATAACTTAAAACTTTTTAACTCTAAAACGGTTTTTCTAAGCGGGCCGTGAAAGTGAAACTGAAAAATCGAAGAGCTTAACTCGCATTCTCCAGTTAAACTTTGAAGTAACCATCAGGATGCAGGAGAAATCTAGAACATTTATGAATACGTTCAAAATGTCAGTAGGTACTCCCGAAACAGTCACAATAATTGAAGTTTTAAAAGTTCGAGGAGAAATTTAATTTTAAAATTCAATACCGCGAGGAACAAGCTCGAAGATAAAAGAAATCTCAAAATATCTTTAACAAATTTTATTGTTGCGTTAATTCATTCGGCCGAAATTTTTTCCAATATGGATGGAGGTTGATTTTTTGCATAAATTTATTAATGATCATACCTCTTTTTTAAATGCTTTACTCTGTGTTTTATTATAGATGAAACAATAACAATAACATCACAATAACTGCTAGGACGAGCTATAGTTATTAAGTATATTCGAAAGCGTAATAAAATAAGATGTATTTAAAAAAAAGACCCTGGGACACCCTGCTTTTGACTCCCCCACTTGAGGATTTTAAACTAAATTACATATATTCAATACTTTTTTGTTCAATAGGTATATATGTACATATTATTGCCTATATTGTTATATACCAAACTTCGAATATTTCCTTTTGATAGTTCTCCAGAACTTTGAATTGAGCACTCCCCGCGGATCGCCCTCTATCACAGAGTTGTGTACATTTTTTTTAACCTACTCGTGCGTTCATTACTTTGACGTTTTACCGGTAATTGCATCAATTAGTTAACGGGTAATTGTGCATCGATCATCCCAGCGTGCGACCTAATTGCTAAAATCGGAATGTGCCGCATAATCCGAGTTTTCCTATAATCGACGTCCTGTCGCAAAACCGCACCCTTTTGCAAAAGGGTTCGTCCCCACCCCGTCGCACTTAATTATACATTTTGTATTAATGCAATTAGGTAATCGATAAAGAAAACGAAAAAGCACAATGGAACTGGTCGTTCGATATTACTTAATTAATTAATACCGTGTAATGAAACTGACGTCGACGTGTTGACACTGTACAAAATCGCAAGTAGTATCGCAATCGCAAATCGAAAAAAATCGCAAATCAAAAGTAGAACTACCCCAAGAAATGTCCTTAAGTTTCTAAAGTTCTAGTTTTATTAGAGTGAAACTACTCTTGTAAAATGTATATAAAAATGTCAAATTTCAGGTAACGGCGCTTGCATTGGCGACTCAGGAAGCGGTTCTATTAGTTTGTCGAATGGAAAATGGCAACTTAAGGGCATATTATCACTGAGTGCAGCGTTGCAAAATGCCAATCAAGACAAGTGCGACGCATCCAGAAACATAGTCCTGACTGAAATATCAAGATATTCACAATGGCTGAGAAGAAACATCGCCTAGAAACATTACTCGAATGGTTTTAATTCTTGCTGCGAGAATTTAAAATTATAACTGAATGTGACTGGTCGTTATTGGTTTGTCCCAATTAAAGAATAAAACAGTACGTTTCAAATCGAATACTTGTTTTAAATTGCACAAGCCCTCCGAATAACATAGGATTATAAATATGTATATACTTAAACGATGGGTAATGACATTCCCAAGATATTTCAAAAATTAGCTTTCTGAAAGACCAACCTTATCCAGCTTTTCAAAACAATTGCCTTTGATAAATAAGGCACCATCTATCGGTGGACCGTGTTGCTAAATGTACATTCTGTGATGGACAAACAAAACTGTACCGCAAATAAGATTTCTATCCAACCAAAACTTTATCTATACGATGTTTATTAAAATTTGACAGCAGGTTGTCGCGAAAATGTCAACGTCTAAACTTAAGACTTGGGTTTTTATTTTATTTGTTTAAAAGTAAAGTGGAATGTTGTTCGAGAGTTAGTGTCATTGTTTTATCGTGTTTATTTTCGTTATCTGTAAGTTTTGTAAGTTTTCTTTGTGTTTGGGTTCTAGTTTGTGAATATTGCCAAATTTTGATAACCTTGGCCTTGCACAATCAAAATATCTTTAAAAGGTTTCTTGTCTAAAGGCCAAATTCTCTATTCGCATAATATAGAGCTACTAATTCAAAATAACAATTATATTATCTTACGAATCTAGCATGAAAAATATCTACAATGACTATTTTCAGGTGAATAACAATGACTAATGTTTCTGAATTTAGTGTTAAAGACGTAAACAATGAAAACAAAGGAATCACTGTATTAAATAAACCTAAATCCGAACGAACGTCGAATATATAATTATTAAGCGCAATAAATTACGCACAATTTGTTTTGTAAAAACGCTCTAAACAACATTTAAACTGTAAATGTATATCATATCAGCAATTGATAACCGTATTTGAGATAAAGTCAATCACCTCGCGTCCAAGTGAGAGTTCTGGTTAAAATAGGCCATCATCATAGACTTTCATACATTATTCAAGACTTGATAAACAGTTCATACTGGATAAAAAATTTGTGTATTTTTTGCTATTTTAGTACATGTAGGTAGGTGATTTTTGGTATAGAAAACGGTTGTTCAAACTTATGTTTGTTTTCAAGTGGTTCAAAAAAATACACGTTTTTATGGATACGCTAACCTTGAATTGTTTGCCTTCAATAATATGGGTGTAATTTATTTTGTTATCATTAGAAGAGATTTTTAAAAATGTATGATTAAATAATGTTATTCTTTTAGGTGTTTTTTGTTTAAATTTCTCATGGAACCACAAGCTCTTGGAGTTTATATTCCCGTAGTATCTCCCAATCAGCTATGCCGCTGGGGCGAAGCTGCCAACACCAATTCAGTTACAAAGTACAGGGATACTGTCAAGAACTCAATCACTTCACCCTTTCCGTACAATCAATCCATTAACTCCAAAGTTATTCTGTGGTAAACAGAAACTCAGTTGTACTATTGCCCATGTATCTTACTGACAAATTATGCTTTTCAGGGATGGTGATATTTCTTTGCTCCAAGTAGATGCTGTTGTTAATCCCACAAACGAATCAATGACTGAGAGCAACCCTGTTAGCGATAGAATATACCAGAGAGCTGGGAACTCTTTGACAGATGAAATGAAAAGGGACATTAAAGGTAAAACTTTTCTTCTGAGAAAAAATTTTTAATCACTAATGGAATTATAGAATGTCGTACCGGGGAGGTGAAGGTGACCCAGGGCCACTCATTGTCAGCACGCTATATCATACATACAGTTGGCCCCAAGTACAACATTAAGTATCAAACAGCATCTGAAAATACTTTGCATACATGTTACAGGTTAGTAGCATCATACAAATAATTTAAAATATGCAGTTTAATCTTATTTAATAAACTTGAATATGTTTTACACCAATTTTTGAAATTTGATTTGTATTCAGGAATGTCCTTCAGAAGTCAAAGGAGTTAGGAATCAGGTCAGTGGCTATTTCAGTTATTCATTCGGTTAAGAGGAACTATCCTCCCGACGAGGGGGCTCACATAGCATTACGTAAGTAAGCCTTATTTTTCTGTTACTCTTATTAGCTGTTCTGTAATCAATAAGTGGCGGGCTTAAATGCGACTTAATAACTCAAGTTTTGTTGCAGGTACTGTACGTCGTTTCCTTGAGCGTCATGGCAGCTCACTCGACACTGTGATATTTGTTGTTGACAAAGTAGATTTAGGTATATATGAAGTCCTGTTGCCTTTGTACTTCCCACGATCCAAGGAGGAAGAAAATGTGGCAAGGTACAGATTGAAAAGTATGATTAAATTAAGGTGTGCATTAAAAAATATGTATGTGTGCAGGTATCAGTTACCAAAAGATGTAGGTGGCCCAGATGGGGAGCCAGTAATGCCAGATCGCCAAATCCGTATTATTGACAATCCGCAGCATACATTGCAGAGTAAGTGTCAAGATGTATAGTTAAAATCATATAACTTTTCTCATGCATGTCACAGGCTTCATAGCAGTAGCAATTGACGATCTTGTGAAAATTAATAGGATATTTGCTAAAAAGAATGTTACTAAATGAAGAATTTTTTGTATATTTATCTAGAGTGGTATATTATTAAATATATGCTATTACCTTAATATTTTTTTCCTGCAATTACTAACATTTAGCTCAAAATTTTTGTTTATGACAAGATCACTTTCTTATATTTTACACCGTTTCTTTTTTCCTTATATTAATCTTTTCTTGTTCATTCAATGAACTTTTGTGGCATGAATAAAAAGTTAATTGATTTTAATTGTAAACAGAATAAACGTAAATTAAAATTGATTTTGTTTTTCCTCAACTTATTAAGAAAATAACTCTAAAAAATGGTGCCTGGGACTGAATGAAACCTGATTTAAAATAAAAATGGTTAATTAGCTACTTTAAGAGAAAAATAATCATCAGATTCAATTTCCTCTATTTTAAAGTAATTCCGGGACCATATAATCCTTAGCAATTTGATATGGGTAATAAACATTAAAGTCATTATGGAAAAATACCCATTAGCATCGCAAATAAGTTATGGAATTTTTTTTGATCAATTTCATTCTCAAAATTTGTCAACAAGGTATGTGGGATACGACGCAAAAAAAATTGTTTATGTAAAACTGAATGTGTTAAATTGTGGATAATTTTTGGCCTAACTTTTCAGTGAACCATGAATTTTATAAATACATATGGCAAAAACCTATTATTTCAAATTATTGAATAGAATGTTTGATTAGTTGCATACCCGCATTGAAGTTTTTCTCTGGAGTAAGCTTAACTATTTTTTCATTTCTTTTTATGTGGAATATGATAACTCTTAATGAAACAGTGTTATGAAAAGTGTGATCATACTCCACTTGGGTAACTAAACACGAACTAGCGGTAGGTACCATAATGATGCCCTTACTTATTCTTCTAAAACCGCCAGATTATCGCGTCCATCAATTTTGATAAAGTCAGGACCTATTTTAAAAATTAACCTTGCTATATTATTTAATGTTTTGCTATATCATTTAATGTTTTTTTAGAAACATAATTGGTTTAATTTTAAGCAAAAATGGATGTAAAAATAGTGGAATGTTTCCAGTATTAATTGATTGAACTTAGTAAAACTAGATTGAATAGCTAACCTAACAATAAGTCTAGGTTGATATTTAGCATAAAATTTGCGATGCTTTGTAAATATGTCGAGATAATGCGATAGATACGATTACAAGAATAATTTAAACGTTAAGCGTTTAGTATCGCCAATTAAATATTAAATTTCGCTTTCTTTAAAAATGCTAGTGCAGTGTTTCTGCCATGTTGTTTGACAGTAGGATTCGCATTAGGGTATGGGGTTGCGCAGGTTCGTGCGCAGTAGCGTTTAAATTAAATTTTTAAATTCCAATCATTTCGCCCTGGTCAAATCAGAATTTCCAGCTTTGACAAAATCTCAATAGAGGGTGTTAGTAGTCGCTATTCGTGTAAATGATACAGGCACAAGAACTTCAGGGATAAGTTTTTTCGATTTCTGAAAAATGAGATAGGTCATACTGATTTAACCACGGCGATTTATATTGTCATCTTTTGTTTAACCTAACTTATTATCTGAAGCGATTAAGGTAAATTTTTACCACTTCTTGTTAAAAATCCGTTCAACGATGCTTAGGTCTGGATCCGTATATAAATATTAAGAGTTTAGTTTACACGATGCGCACAAGTATTTAAGCAGTAGGCACTTATTCGGAACTTACCTTTTATGTTTCACGAATTGTGTTTGTTGGCTATCTGTCATTTACGTACGGGTACGGCGGGATAATTTAAAATCGTAGCAACCGCTATGTAATATAATAATTAAACTTTACAATCTCGTGCACCAGTCGAACCTTGATTGTTTCAGCGCTTTTACATTCAACTTTTAATCTGAATAACGAAAGCCTAATTATATTGACCAAGGGAAATAAAGTTATTGTACGTGCAGAATTGAAACGAAAACAAAACGAACGCGAAAGCTTTTAGCGCCTCAGCGGCGACAAGTCGAAACTTTTTTTTTTTGAGTTTCGTGACGATCTAGTGGTTTGAGTGTCATGGTCGCGTCATGATCAACGAGTGCTTTGAATACTCTTGTGAGTTGTTTTTTCTTTGTCATGGTATACAGGTTGTCGTCATCCGAGCGGTGGTTTTATTTAATTTACGTCATTGGTAGTTGTGAAGTTAATTCGTAAGATAAGATGGACTACTTTTTTTTTTAATTAAATTTCCGTCTTGTGCGGTCGTACGACCGTTGCCGGTCCCTTGGGTGTTGTACTTTTCTACGTGTCTGAGCGCTTTGGTGGAAAAAATTTAACATTATATTATCGACAGGATCGTAATTTGATTTATGAATCTTTTTTCGATTTTCTCTGAGTGTTGCTCATTTTCTGCGATAATTTTTGCCAATATTTGAGAACCACTTTGAAATATATTTTGATTTTTGTTCTTTTCTCGTTCGTTTTAATTCCGTACATTTTTTGTGCAACAATTTTAAGATTATAAATACTTCTGAAAATAACCTGTTTTTGACTATTTGGAAATATTATTGTCTGAAAATTTCAGTACAGAATAAAACTTTTTCACCCTTGTCATTTAGTATTTTGAAGAAATTGATACAACAATTTTGGAAATATGTATGTTTGCGATTTAACTGCAGGAAGTCTGGCTCAAAGAAAATATAATTTTTCCAACATTCAGATGAATTCAGTGATGGGTGATACCAGTGTTGCTTGCAAATTTCATTATGTTATTTTAGTCAGAAAGAAGATTTGAGAAGTGTAATGTTAATAATTGTTGCTCAGCAACAAAACAAAATTATCTTGTAATTAAGGAAGTTTTTTTAAGTAAAAATTGCGACACACTGTATCAGAGCTTATTTAATTTGCTTTGGGAAAAACGTCTTAGTGTTATTAATTTTAATAGACAAGTTAGCAAAACATAATTAGACTAAGTAATCAACCAAATTACTGGAATATACAATTCGAAATTACAATGCAAATTTTCATTTGTTTTATTTATATGCTTATTTTTCTGTAATATTGAAATGCACGCAATCACTAACGAGGCAATTTTACGCAACAAAATTGCGCTTTCCTGGTTATTTGACAATAATCCGCCAGTTTTACTTATCCGAAACGACAAATTTTGAACACCGATCAATGCCGCACCATTGTTGGAAGTAGTTTTTTTTTAAATTAAATGTCTCCAAGGGTACTGAACCGGTAGTAGCGGGAGGCCATATAGCCGTTCCAGGTTATGCGCCATAACCAGTTTTAAACTGAGAATAAATGACGTTATGAATATTCAACTGTATATGACGTATAGATATGATCGCTTAAGCCATATAAGTCCGTCGAAATTAATCAACTAAAACGAACTTAATTCCCTTAAAAATCGATAAAAGTAATTAAGAGCGTCCGTTTTAACATGCTTTCAATTTAATTCCGCTGAATTTCATTGATCGGCACGGCACTTCAGGCGATTTTAGCACCAGTGCAAAAGGGGTGTTTTTTTTTTCTTGAACTGGCCTCATATAATGATGTTGTGAATCACTCAAAACGTGATTATACTTATTTATTTAAACATGGGAACAAGTTACGTTAGGATTTAGATGCGTAGGTTACTTTTGGCTTAATATGATATGCAGTAACAACGTGCACAAATACGACGATAAGACCACCGGCACAATATTTGTGTGTTCCAAAAAAAGCCAAAATTTCAACTTGTTCGTAGAAATCCTGATAACTTGGCGGATAATAATTCACTTTTTAAGATATAATACTTTGCTTTTATAATGTCAATTTTTTGTTGTACCTACTACTTGCTAAAGTATTGTCTACGTTTTTTAAAATAACCGCTACTTTATCCTCTAAAATCAAAATCCCCCAAGGGCACTACGGAACATTATTAGACGGACTGCGGCATGTGATGTCATCATACAATTTTTTCAACTTATTAGTACAAATTATTAGTATTCAAAATAAATAAGAACTAAAAGTTCAGATTTTCACGAAATTATATATTATGACATGACAATTGTTTCGACAACACCGTGTCTTTATCAAATTTATCAAACATTTGATAAAGACACGGTGCTGTCGAAACAATTATCATGCAAAAATATATAATTTCCTGAAAATCGGAACTTTTAGTTCTTATTTAATTTGATAAATGGATTTTCATCAAGTAAAAGCCACCTCAGTTCAATAATTAGTATTGTATGGAATAGACACTCACAACTAAAAGGGATAGTTGGACGTGGATTTCTGTATGTGAAGGATCATTTCAGCAAATGTCGCTGCGGTCTTGTGAATTTTTGTTAAAACCAATCAAAACCATTCAAATAAATAGTGAGGAAAAGCAAATTTTCGTTTGGAAAAAACGAATATAGTTTATGTAGGTTATCGGATAATTGAATAAGTTCAGTTCAATTTTTTAAAGATTTTATTTGTGTTTTTTTTTTATAAATTACAATACTCTTTTTCGAATTCCTAACTGTTACGAATTTAGATTGTGCTCATATTTATCAGTCTAAATCAATAAACAAACTATCTTCTCTGCTTTGTCGCAAATAGCTGATGAAGAATGCGTGGACCTGTCCCCTCATCTTGAGGTGTCACTGGGCGAGCATGCGACCTTCTCACAGATGCAGGGCGACCTGGACAGGCAGCGGCTTCTCGGAGAACGCTCCCTGTCCGATCCGATTGCCGACCTCATGCTCAAAGAGATCCAGCACCAAGAACGGTAAGCGTCCTGTATTTGGATTCGCCTAGGTTCCTCGTCAAATACTAAATGCCACGAAACCACCCCACCGTACCTAATAATAAATTCCGGGTGCTTTTGAAAGCACCCTGTATACCGGGTGGTGTAAATTGTCGAGTTGAAACTTTAACAGCGTAATCGGCAAATAAAAATAAGTAAAACAGTTCATATAAACTTGAAAATTTGCAAAAAAAAAATCATTTTTTTAAACTTACTAGGTATTATTGCCACTTAAAAGCAAATGAATACCACAGATTTTTTTTTGTTCAAGCAGTGGCGTTCATGTTAAATAATAAATCAGAGATACGTCAATTTATTTTTTCGAAAACGGTTCGTTTTATCGAAAAAACTGAAGAAACCATTTTTGTTTATAATTGATCGGGGTATCTACATTTATGAATAAAATTGCAATAGACTATTGGCGTATATATTTTTTATTATTTTAGTCAATTAAAACGATCCCACGAACGACACTGGTTATACAAAAACAAGTTTCTCTACGCTATAAATTTGTTTTTACCTAATACCTACTAAGTTTGAAAGCAGTCATAAAAAACGTTTTTTAAAACCTATAAAAATAGGATTTTGAGAACGTAAGTTTATATGAACTTTTTTATTTCTTTCTTTCTGCTTAATACGTGCTAAAGTTTATCCCTTATAATTCAGACCACCCTGTATTTTGGCGACTCGCGTCCTAGACTGAAATCACCCCCAACATTGTGTAAAGGTTAATACCGAGCAAATATCGATTTTTATTGCGACGATAACGTTTTCGGTATATATTATTCAATCAATTCTAATTTTTCTGTGGAAAACTAGACTGTCCGACGTCGGCTCAGTCAAGACGGTTTATTCGTCAAACGCTTCGTCGTCGTTCGTGATATTTATTTTGGCGTTTTTCTTAATTATGACGGAGGAAGTGATTGTGCATGATACGGTCCCGCCCCATTTACCGTGCAAACGAGCGTTCTACGTGTGGATGCGGAAAGTTAGGTCAGTATAACAGGCAGCTGACACGTAAGCGAAGAAGCCAACTTGACCGCATCTGAAATTGTTTATTGACCGCCCTAAAATCGCATTTAGCATTTCTTGGTGCTCGTACCAATATTTGCTATGAGCTAATAAGAGTGACTTAAAAATTCGTTGCGTCACTGTGCAGTCCCTTTGCACACCCGTTTTATTACTCTACACCTTCCTGAAATGGAATTAAGTTCAACACTTTTCAAAATAAATAACTAAAAATTCAGATTTCCACGAAATTATATATTTTTACGTGACAATTGTTTCGTCAACACCGTGTCTTTATCAAATGACATTTGATAAAGACACGGTGTTGTCGAAACAATTGTCATGTTAAAATATATAATTTCGTGAAAATCTGAACTTTTAGTTCTTATTTATTTTGTTAAATGGATTTGCATCAAGTAAAAGCCACCTCAGTTCAATTCAGCGCTTCTATTTTCTATTTTTTAGTATATTTAAATTACGTCTGAGTGGAAAATAAAACAATAAAGTCAGTGAACGCACATAATGTATTTTATGGAAAAAGTTTTATAAACGACACTTTAGTCACGAGTTTGTTTAGCCACTAGCGGAGCGCTGCAGAGCAAGTTTATTACGCATTAGCACGTGTACGTGTCAATTGACAAACATCAAAATACTACCGCAATGTCATTTTAAAACGTCAACTTTACACGTTAGTCACGGGTTTGGGAACGATCGGATGTTTTCAGTAGATTTTAGCCATGTTGTTTTGACGTGTGTTAGTCCTGACTTGTTGCATAATAATCTATTTTAAGTTTTTTTTTTTTCAAAGAAACTTCCACAGGCTACTGTAATATGCGTCGGTTGTTGTTGAATTAAACTTGCTGACATTTCGCCAATCATTCTCTTGTCTTCTTCAGAGCTTGACTGAAGCTGACTGAACTAACAGTTTCAGAAGCCAACAGTCAGTGAACGCCAGCAAGTTTAATTGAACAATAACCGAAGCAGGATGAATCCAGGAGTTTTATAAAAAGTATGTATTTTAAGTTTTATTAAAGTATTTAAATCTTTTTGGATTGGTAGCTGCGTATTTCATAACTTACTGAAAAATAATTGCTTTTGTAATCCCGGGAAGTTAACTGCCCATTTTATTTTTTTTTTTATTTCAATTAGCTATATACCAACAAATGTTTAAATATCTGCCTCCACATTGGCAGAGCCAAACCAAAGATCAAATCACTTGTAAGGCATTTTATGCGTCTGCGAGTTAACGGTTCAATAAGAAATAGTCGGTGCAAACTGAAGTCGGTGAATTGCGAATTGTTACTTCGAAATTACAAATCGGCAAAAGTTTGTTTTCATCGAACCCCGTGAATTTCGCGTCCAATAATACGCGGCTCGAAGTTCGCCAAATCAAGTTGTCACGTCACGTGAGTATATTGCAAACTAAGACTCGCCTTTAGAGCCACTCGAACATTTGGCGGGCAAAGGTTATTTTGAAAAGATGTAGAGTAATAAAACGCATGTAAAGGTGCTTTCATTCATTCTTTCTTTTAATTGAGAACAGATAGTGCCACCCGGATTTGGGTCAAGTTATAGATTTTACATATTTATTTATCAACAGTTAAAATAGCATGCTAAACGCGTCCCACTAGGGTACTCGTAAAAAGGAATAAATTTTATTTTAACTGAATAAAAACTAGGCATTACATAATATTAGGAACGCTTATTTTTTATTAAACATTATATAAGGAAATAATATTCTTCAGCAGCTGAGGCACTGTCATCTTCTCTTGACCATGAAGTGGTCAAGATCTAGTTCATTTTTCCTTTGCTTTATTGACATGCTCGACTGCTTTTAGCCAATTCTCTGGTATTTTTCCTCAATGTCTTGATCCAAAAGTAGCCTAACATGGTGTTTTGCCGTCTTGCTTTATAGGATTTAGTTCACAATCATATGGCGGTGCGCGCGGCACTACACTATATTTTTCATTGCGTATTTCATAATGTTGTCTAAATTTGCCATATGCAGTAGTTCCATCTTTATTAAATTATCTTCAAATTATTCACTATGACAAATGATATTGTAGATTTCGTGTGATTCTTGTATTACTTGTTTTTAACCTCAATATCTGAGAGAACGGATGCATTTTTCATTTCACGACAATGGTTTTCAAAAACATCCGAATTCATGTCCTTGTGGTATTGTCTCGAAGGTTAGCAAACCAGCTTTTGAAAATCCTTCTTCGCTTCCACCTTAATTCCCTTTGACATGCCTTCCATAAAGGCATTTTTTTTCTTTTCACATTTTTGGTACTATATAACATTCACGTCTCTTCAAGAAAAATCATTTTCTTCTGCTCTCTTGTATACAGGTTTAAGTATTTTCAATGTCAACAAACAATTTCATCGCTTTGCAGTAAAAGTGCGTTATGGTTTTGCTTTTCCCATGCAAAAACCATATTTTTAAAGTGGCCTATAAAACTTTCCTAATTATCAATGGGATATTGTCATCGTGACCAAGCTCCATTACGTTTACGTGAATATTTATTCTTTAAAATAAAGAGTGAACTTTTCTTCGAATTACCCTTTTGGTGTCTACACCTACGCCTATGACAAACGCCGAAATTGGGCAGAACTGGACGAAATTTCTCATTCTATTATTTTTTCTTTTCTTTTCTAATTTTGTACAGCATGGCCAAATATCTCAAAACTATTCGTCATCTGGTCAAAAGTCTTAAAATATTTTCACATTTCCAAGATGGCCAGAGAGACGTAACCGCCATCTTAAACTGATTTTCCCGGAGTCAATATACCACAAAAAAATACATACTTTTAAAAGCTAAGCTTTCTGCTAGTGTTTTTTGTTTAATATTTTTTCACCTACCCATTAGGGATGGCCGGAGTTCCTAGACGACTGTCCAGATTTTAACAAACTTGATCTCGTTGGAAAAATTATTCACTGATCTTGCGACACCCATCTTATATATCTAATTCTTAGTGATGCCACTTTAGCGCGTTATTTGATACAATAACAGAAAGATGCAAAATTCTCTAAAAAATTAAATGCAATATTATATGAAGTGAACTTGATACCTCAATAGGTTAGTGAAAAGCGAAAGGAAATTTAGTTTTCATACAATACACGTTATTGTTGTTATTTATTTGTCTTCATCATCAATCAAAAAGGTATTCTTGGTTCAAAAAATTAAACAAAAAACATATATCGGCATAATAATTCACATGGAATGTAATGCTAAGGAGAATATGTAGAATAGTCCAGGGTAGAAAAACAAATAATTATTAATAATTATCGATAATGAATAGTTTCCGAGTCCTTTATGTATCGACATAAAACTGTGAACGTTGTAATTTTTTTTACTAATTAACTAATATTGGCTGGAACCACTTTTACCTGATCTACTTTGTCAGACATATTTTATCCTGGACTGGAGAAGGAGGGGTAGACTTTGAATGGAGCGTTGCTTTGAAAACTACGTCCTTGCCTCGATTTAGGCATGCAAGATGTATACCAGGATACGAATCTACGCAATTATTAACATTAACACCACCGCTACAATTAACAGATTAACCCGCCAGTTGTTTTGTTTAACAAGCCCAAACCCTAATCCCGACATCATCCTATAATATAAAGCGTAGCAAATCCAATTGTACGACGAGTATATTATACGCTTAATCGATTTACCGTGGCGGTGCCGATGTGCGATTGTTTTTGGAGCCGGGATGCACGCAATCGAAGCAACCTTAGCGCCGATGTCATGCAGAGTACATCGTTGACGTCATGACGGCGACGATTAAGACCGTAAATGCATCTTTCGCCGTTACCGAATGGGTTTTCTATGATCGTTATATTGCTCGGTCGTGTTTTCCGGAAGGCATAATGACCGCCATTTTACACAATACAACGATTTTTACTTTTTTACGAATTATTGAGAAACCAACTTCCAATTCAAAGGATCTTATAAATACCTAATACG